ATATCTTGTAAAATATTTATTTTTTATCATCTTGCTCGACCAAAGTGTCGGGCGATCGCTGCGATGTGCAAGTCGCGATGGAACGCAACGGTAAGCCAGACGTTTCTCTCTCGCGACGTCCAAGTCGCACGCGTACGTACAGCGTAGCGGAGCGCGCAGCCGCGTCCACCATGTTGTTTCCCGCGTCGCAATTTCGCGTGTCTCGCCTCCGTAAACCGCGACTCGCGAGCGCAAACCAATGCCGGCGGGCGACTATCGGGGAAGGCGTCGGTTATCGCGCGGTCGTAACTGACCGATCTGCAATCCGACTCGTGTACGAGCGAGTAAAGGCCGGCGTCTGTTTTCGACTTGAGGCTGGGGCGAAGAAAGAGCGGCGTAAACCCTGCGGGCCCTGCGGTGAGTAAACCCGTTGCCTGCATTTGCACGAGTAAATCGCTCGTCGTCCATCGACAGCGAACATTATTATCAATTGTGATTTAATCTTATTACACAACTTTGGTCGTCCGACAACCCGAATCGACGCGCAATTTAAAATCGAGAAATAGACGCAGTCTATCCCCAGTCAGAAATGACTGGAAAACCGACGTCGAAACGATATCGAATCGATGCATTTTTGGTTCCATTTTCGAGCCAAGTCGAAAATGGAACCAAAAATGCATCGATTCGATATCGTTTCGACGTTGGTTTTCCAGTCATTTCTGACTGGGTCGTCATTAGGGCTAGTTTCACAAACGTCGGTCAACTGTTAACCAGAGTTCAGTCAACTCCCTATCACTTTCTATCTTATTGTCTAAATAAGAGACAGAGAATCAATTAACCTTCGGTCAGCAGTTAACCGTCGTTTGTGAAACTCGCCCTTAGGCTCGGTTTCATCAACGTCGCTTAACTTTAAGCTTAGCTTAACTCGTTCTTTGTTTCTTTCCAACTGTTACTTTAAAAAGAGACAAATGCGAATTAAGCAAAGATTAAAGTTAAACGACGTTTGGTGAAGCCGGGCATTAGACTGTTTATTGCGACAAATATTACCACATACCTCGGTGGTCGAATCGCTGAGACGCCTGCCTAGAGTGTACGGAGGTCCAGGTGAGGTAATATTTTTCGCAATAAATTTTCTTAATTAATATATTAATTTTCCTACATTGATCGTCGGTCTTGGGACCCTGGTAGCACAATATATTGGCGCAATATTGGGAAACAATGTAAATCTATTGGTCTAATATTATAAGATGGACGCCTTCTTTTATTTAGCCAATGATCGATTCGGCATCGATCGACGAGTCATTTCTCACTGGGGGGTCAATTTCGTCGCGAGAACCAGAGTATCTCCAGGGTGGAATACAAGAAAAGATCGTAGCTTGGAAACAATATTTATTTCAAAGACTCCCCCTCCCCGCGCGGCGACTGGAGGGTTCATTTGAAATGCTCTAATTACGGATCGTCGCACCTGATCGTCCGTGCGAGGCACTTTTCGCGCAGGTCACCTCGCGACCGCTCGACGACGATTTCCGCGTCGCGGTCCATTCTGCGAGTCGTCCGTACACCGTCGGGACACCTCGACGCGATCGGGGATGTTCAGCGACCAGCAACGGCGCCTCGTCGACAGAAACGGGACGTCCGTTCGACATCCCCCGATTATCGTATTCCAGATGCGCCCACTGCGAAACCGGTCGTTGAGACATGGCGCGAACGTTGCGTTCCCCCGAGACTTTTCGTCCAGTTACCCGAAACTAGGGCTCGCTATTATACGTTTAAACGGAAACACGTTTATACGTATAATTAGCTATCCGTTTATTAGAAACGTTTTTCCGAATACACGTGTTTTTACTTAACAAACGTTTGACCGTTTAAACGTTGAAACGTTTACTAGGCTCTAAGTGTAAACGTTTACACGTATATTAAACGTTTAAACGTGTAAACGTTTTTCTACAAATAAACGTTTTTCTGGAAGAAAATGTAAACGGATAAACGTTTCACGTTTAAACGTTTATTCGAAAAACGGAATAAAATCCGAGCTCTATACCCGAAACGCGCGCGTCCAGGCCTCGTACGCGCAATTGACGGCGAAACCGTAGGCCGCCCTCCGTAAACAACCCTCGTAAATTGCGTTCGCGGCCGACCGGACGATCTCCTCGCGGACGCAGCCGACGACGTGGCCGGCGTGCTCGTCCCCCAGTATTTCCTGCCACTTGGCCATTGGAATTCGAGAGGGCGGCGGCGAGAACTCCTCGGCGACTTCGGAGACGCGCGACACGCGCGACGAATACGTCGACTCGTTGCGCCGCCAGTTCCTCGGCATTGCTTCCCTCGATCGTTCTCCGAAAACTATCTTGATCCTGACAAAGTTCTTCAGTCAGTGGACAATGGTGCATCCACATTTTTAATAAACAAGTGACGTCTCGAGGGATCGATTTAAATGCCGAGTTTATTTATTGCTGACAAGTTCACGCATCTTGCGTGCATATAGCGTCCTCGTCATTTATGTTAATTTATTTCGTGCTGAGGATTGTAAGATTGTTCTTAGAAGAATCGAACAATAGAATTGATTTGAATTGAGAATTGATTTGAATTGAGAATTGATTTGAATTGATTTGAATTGAATTCGTCTACTGCAAGTTAGTCACTGTAGCCGATTAAGTATTGCGTGCGTGGTATCGTCACGCAAAGTGGGTTAAAAACATTGCTGCAAACAAAGGCGGTATTGCTCGTAACATTCAATATATATATTTATTGTCTCAAGATATTGTATGTATTGAAATTTACAAGGCTAGGAATTAAAAGGTAAATTGCGTTAAAAATAAATCGCGTCTAAATATGAAACGTTAACTTCTCTTCGTTGATGATAAATTACCTTTTAGCGGTAAATTTCTAATTTAAGGCCTAGCTGCAGATTCTTTCTTTTCTTATTTGTTTTGAAACTGTGAACCTTACGTAATTAGAAGCACTAACGGTTCTTTTCTCGATAGGATTCCAGTAAAAGCGAAACTGCAATTTATATAAACGCAATTCAATAATATTTTCAGCTCACGAGAGCGCCCGATCGAAGACGCCCAATCAATTGTCGGTCGATATTAACCCTTTAACCGATGTTGACGATTTATTTCTTCCTACTTAAAATTCAAACATTAAATTCATCATTTGCAGTAATTACATTTAAATTTAAACTATAACATGATTATGCGATGCGATGTTTAATTGAAAGTAACTCGATCGCTCTTTACGTAAATAAATAATGAATTACAGCAAATTTTGAATATTGTGTATATTTGCATCACGCGATCCTTATTAAGAGCAGTAAACCTTCCACTTTTAAATTGTTTCATTTTATGCTTTTCAAATACTCGTGTTCTAATATAAGATTAGAGCAGTGCCTCAATGAAGGCCATGGCTATTATGTCAACGGAACTTGGAATCAATTTATGAGCAAGTCCGTACTTAATCATAATTGTAGATGTGCGGTTAAGGGGTTAAACGATCCTAAACGATTCGCTAACGTAACGTTTTCTATTCGCTTGCAAAAACTCGACTGAGTTAACTGGCAGAATTATTATTATAGAATTGCAGTGAACGACATATATAATACAAGTTCTACATTGTCTTCTTATTAATTATATTATAGCACATGATCCTTCGGTAATTCGTTTTCTCAGCGATAATATAAGCAGATCCGCAATAATACGCTAGGCAACCTAGGCGAATGCCCAAGAACGCTAAAAATACTATAGTAATTGTATACTGAAAGTGAAAAGTACGTAAGTGTACTGTAAAAGTATTCGTATGCCATCATTTTATTTTGCGGTAGTCCATCACGCATTGCAAAAGAATCGGGGAAACAAATCTCCATGAGTAAACTGTTTGTGGCGCTTAAGTAATAATTTGTAGTCTTTAAATTTCTAATTTAAAGCAAACCTTACTTGGTTTCGTTAAATTCGTAATCTTCTTCTGAAGAACATTCGTTAATATCCGATAATAATGGAACAATATAAAATCTACCACAAAAATATCATCTTTAATTATAAAAATACGTTTCACCATACTGTTAATAAAGTAATAAACGTTACAAGTATATGGGTCGCAATTTTATAAACGACGCAGCAGCAACACAATGTTAATATCTATATCTAAACATTTTACACATATCTAATATCTATATCTTTTAGGTGTTGAGTTTATCTATTATTGACTAACAGAAAAAATGAGATTCAGAGAAACAGAGATAATGCATGAATGTTGTTTTATTGTATAACGCTTCATGATCTATTTACGTTTACATTCTTAAATGCTAATTAAAACATACAGAAGAAAAATGGCGATATACGAATACTTTTTGTACTTACACATAAATTTCATTTAGTTAATAATTACAATCGAACATTTTGTCCATAAAGGAATAAATTTATAATTGTGTGTATTTGAAGCATTTAAACTGCATGTAAAAGATAATCGAGAATATTTCTGCTTTTACATATATATTTGCTTTGGAGAACTGAAAAACGCTAGAACGTATCGTAGTAGGTTTATCTTACAAATAATGCCTTACTGAAACGTGTCCCTTTAATTTTATTTTCGAAAGAATAGATTTGCAGTTGCATGTTAAGGAAACATGTTAATTGGCAAAGTATACCGCCTAATATAAATCCGTACGTGAAGTTACGTAGATCCTGCTACCAGCTCGTTTTGGTATCTTTCCATATCCTCGAAGCTTTTAATTCTCTTGCGTGTGATTAATTCTAATTGGACGAACGAGATGTTTAGACAATTCCACTACGTTACGGAGAAGTTACGTTTGCTCTTGCCGGTTACTCTGATAAGAAGAGATCCGCGTCGCAAAAATTGTCTTACTCCGTTTTTCGTTTCTCACTTGACTATCACATTCTCAGACCAAGGTCTGAGAATCCTTCGATTCTTAAATCCTCGAATGCTTCTAATCATTTGGTCCTGCAAATACTTGAATTCCAAACTCTTTATTTAATTCCTCTAAAATTCCTTATTTTCTGCTTAATCAATGTTACGTCTTTAGAGCTGTTATATTTGCAGGTCATAAAATTATTAAATTTTTTTTCCATGTAATTTAGGTATGATTAAAAATTTTTTGAAATATAATATTTTTCAATTTCTTGGATAAAATTTCCGTATTAAAATTTTTTGTTTTCAAAACTTCTTGACAGGACTTTTAAATTCTTGCAATGATACATACATATATATCATTTTACAATCCTTCATTTCTTCATACTTTAAAATTTAATTTTTAAAATTTAATCTTCACTTTTCAATTTTCATATCTGTGAAAGGTGGAACTTGTTTTTCTACTGTTCTCGTTGTTAGATTCTTGAATATTTGAACCCTTGAACCCTAAGACCTAACTCTTAGATAACATACAATTCGAATACACGAATTTTCTGGTCTTTAAGTTCTCAAGACTTTTGGATGTTCGGTTTTTCAAATTTGAAGTCATATATTCGTTCAGCCCTAAGAAAATTCTTCGATCTTCTTAGGAGCTGTCATTGCATTGCTGGAAGTTTGAATCCGTGAATTTCCGAACGCGTTTACATTCTTCGGACTCTTGGATTTCTGAACTCTACAATTCTAGGCTTGCATCTCCTTGGATTCGTGAAACTCTCGAATCCTCGGATCCTGGAGCTCGCGTCCTTGGATCCCCAAGGACTCTTTCCCTCCCAATGGTCGGTAACGACTCTTTTCTCGCAGTACGAGTGCACGGTGGATCTTTTCTCGTTTTAATTGGAAGACCAACATTCGTCGTGAAGGTCCTTAAGCGCTAACGCCGATTATAACACCACCGCTTCCGGGAAGGCCGGTCTCTCCCATCAAGGCCAAGTCAACCTCCTTCGCGGCCAATCTACCTTCTGCGATCGCCCACACTACGAGAGACTGTCCACGTCTGCAATCTATTTTACAAAAATCTATGTAATAACAAATGTATGATATTCATACCTTTGTAATTCATAAGTCAATTATTTCGACGATTAATATGAGGATTGTGATATTAAATAATTTTTGTGGTCAAAAGTTTGTCAAGTACAAAGCTGAAAGTTAAATCATAAATTACGTTTAAAATATGTATTAAGGTTCGTTTACACATATCCGTGACGTGTTCCGTTCAGTTCCGTGAATTTCCATCAGTATCAGTGATAATAAATATTGTTTTCTTGTTTTCTAATGGATGTATTCACATACGCCCGGCACAGTCCCGTATTCGGACCGTTCAATCTTATTTGTTTATTCATCTGGAGTTATAACAATTATTGCCAATTCGTCATCCGTAAACTTGAGCCATCTTGAAAATCACTGAATCCAAACTGTATGGATAGATGTGATTAACCGTCACTGACATATCACGAACATCACTGACATGGCACTGATACGATACTGATACGTCACGAATATGTGTAAATGGACCATTACAGTTCTATAATAAGAGCAAACAAAAGATAAGATTAAAAAAAATGATGATACTAAATTTGTAATGGATGCAGGATCTGGGCAATTTCTTTGGCAAAGCTGAAGGTGAAATTAGACAAGAGAAACGAAATCTTTAAAAATATCATATACTGACCGCCTGCCGCATATATTTTGGGTAAACTAGTGCAATATTTCCCGGCTGGAGTCTTATAATTTCCTCTTTCATCCAAGGTGGCGTTCACTTCCGTGGCGATGTACTTCTCGGGTCCGAGGAAGCCCATGGCGAGCAGTACCAGGTCACACTTGTACACCTTCTCAGAATTTGGTACCTCTTCCATCTTCCATCGACCATTCTCGTCCTTTTGCCATTCCACGGTTACCGTCTTGATGCCACTCACGTGGCCGTTTCCGTTGTCCAAGAATTCCTTGCTCAATGTACTGTATCTACGCGGATCTCGGCCGAACTTGAGGGATACCTCCTCGTGGCCGTAATCGACCTTGAACACTCGCGGGAATTGAGGCCACGGGTTATCCTTGCCCCTCTGAACCGGCGGTTCGGGCAGAATTTCAAAGGTCGTGATCGTCTTCGCACCCTGACGTAGCGAAGTTGCTATACAATCGCATCCGGTGTCGCCGCCTCCTATGATGACAACATCTTTGCCCTTGGCAATCAGTCGCATGTCCAGAGGTGCCGCGTTACCCATTTGTTTCTTCTGCCAGTGCTCTAGGAAGCTCACGGCAAAGTGAATTCCCTCGAGCTGACGACCTGGAATCGGCAGATCTCGCGGCCATGTCGCGCCTGTGCACAACAGTATCGCGTCGTACTGTTCTTGAAGTTCCTACAATAACATATGCGTGAGTGTCAAAGAATCATTATACAGATTAATGATGAGTATTTTGAAAAGAAGCATTATTGCTCAAGAAAATGAAGAAATCTATTAGAATACGTACATGTTACAGAAATGAGAAATTAATATTTGTATTCGCCGTACGATGGACGTATCGGTAAAAATATTATCAAACTTTCTCTATTGTACTCTTGTGTAAATGTAAAGTTGAAAAATAGACTGCCCTGCTCTCTAAAATTTGTGGAGTGAAAATACTGCCATGGAGTGAAATGTTTACTCCATTGGAGTTAATATTCACTCTGTTGGAGGAAATATTAACACGCCAACCCTGATGGAAAAATTTTGCTGAAAATGTAATGAAATTGACGAAAAGTGAAATGAAAGTTATTGGAAACTTGTTGAAACCATTTCAAAATAAATCATAAGTTTCGTTATGAAATTCAATGAAATACTGTGAAATTAGATGAAAGTTAATTAATATTACTAAAAATTAGTGAAAAAATTTTAGAAATGTTGTATATTATGAAATTTGCAGAATTTAACTGAAAATAAATTTTTTAATGAAAAATTGCTGAAATGATAATGAAATTGGGTCAATTGCAAGAGATTTTCAACCAAATTTCAGCAAATTTCATTACGTTTTCAGCAAAATTTTTCCATCAGGGAATAGGGTGAACATTTCACTCCATGGCAGTATTTTCACTCCACAAATTTTAGAGAGTGAAACGCACTCGCTTACCTGCATTGTAATATCCTTGCCTACATCGACCTTCGTTCGGAAGATGATTCCTTCCGCGGCGAGCAGAGATACTCTTCTCTGTACGACCTCTTTCGACAGCTTCATCGTCGGTATACCGTACTGCAGCAGCCCACCGATTCTGTCGTTTCTCTCGAATACGGTCACCGTGTGACCCGCTTTGTTCAGTTGATGAGCGGCGGCTAGTCCCGCGGGACCGGACCCGACTACAGCGACTAATCGTCCGGTTCTTCTAGTCGGTGGATGAGGCCTTATCCAACCTTGCTCAAACGCGTGATCGATTATGGCGCACTCGATATTCTTGATTGTCACCGGTGGTTCGGAGATCCCTAGGACGCATGCACCTTCGCAAGGTGCGGGGCAGACCCTTCCAGTAAACTCTAAGAGTATTACAAGAGAATTTCAAAAGATTGGACACAATTACACGATTGATTGATTAGAAGAATGAGTGAAGAGATAAGATTGAAAGAAGTTGACGAAGAAAAGTATGTGTCGGTGTTAAACGATAATAAATGCAACAGAAAGTTATTGTATATAAAAAGTATAATTTTTATAAAAAAAATAGAATCAAGCTTGTTAAGGCCTGTGTCCACGATGCTAGAACTTGGTCCGAGTTCTAGTTTTCAGAAATGTAGCCAATCAATTTGCAGCTATTCCGTAAAAGTTGCAAATTGATTGGCTACGCATTTCTCGATCAAGTTCTAGCATCGTGGACATAGACCTTTAGTGGAGGGATGGAAGAAAAATGGATTTATCGTCACCAAGTGGGGAATAATTTGTATCTAATGAAAAAGAATTCTCATAAATTGACTCACCGGGGAAATTATTAGTTTGCAACAATTGGTTCAAGGCCTCCTTCCAGTTCTGGTGAAATACGAGATCGTTCCACTTGGGAATGATGTTGCCCAACGGGCAACCGTGACTGCTCTGGCAAAACGGCACACCGCACTCCATGCACCTTGCCGCTTGCACCCGCAGAGTCTTCCTGACACCCTGGAAGTTGTATATCTCATCCCAGTCCTCTACACGCTTTTCGACCGGTCTGTACATGGCCTTTTGCCTCGAGTACTTCATGAAACCCTTGATCTTGTCCAGCTTTCGCTGTGCCATCTCCGCGTCTTCTATCGAGTCCTCTATATCTTTGATCTTGCCGTTCGTGATCTGCGTGTTGCCGTTAATTACGCTGGGTGTTTGTTGCTTCGCCTCCTCCATTTGTTTGAGAGCTCGCTGATACTCGTAAGGGAAGACCTTGACGAATCTCGTGGTCGGTTCGGGCCACGAGACGAGCAAATCTTGCGCTATCAACGAGCCGGTCTTCTCGATAAACTCCTCCATCAGTTGTTTCACGTAGGCGATTTCTTCCGGTTTGGTGAGCGGCAGCAACTCCACCATTTCGGGGTTGCACTTGCTCTTGAAGGAGCCGTCGACATCCAACACGTATGCGATTCCACCAGACATCCCGGCCGCGAAATTCCTGCCGGTAAGACCCAGGATCAAGGCGCAACCGCCTGTCATGTATTCGCAACCGTGATCACCCACGCCCTCCACCACAACAATCGCCCCACTGTTACGCACGCTGAATCTCTCGGCAGCGATGCCGCGGAAATAGGCCTTTCCGGAAGTAGCTCCGTAAAGGCAGACATTCCCGACGATTACATTCGCCTCAGAGTTGAACTCGGAATCCTTCGGTGGATATATGACAATTTCACCTCCGCAGAGACCCTGCAAATAAAATTATTTATTTCGTCTGTACAAAAAAAACTACAGTTTGTTGCTGTTTTTGCAATTAACAAAAATATTGTTTACAATGTGACATGATAAATACAATTGAATTAAGATGCATCATTAAAAAGTTTGAATCATTATGATCATTAATTGGATCCAGTTATTAATCATTTGCATCTGCAAAACAAAATGATACTCTTTGAAAAAACATTTATACTTTACTTATTTTGCGATTAAAAGTACTTAAAAAACTAAAAACGTTTGTGTTGCCGTGTTATGTTGCAAAAGCTATTTCTACACGAAGAAATAACAATTAATGACAATTAAGGTTTTAGTATTTAGATATTTACGGTACCGATTTGAACGGATCAATATAAAATTATGCGTAAATTATTTACGTTGCAAATTCATAAGAAACTCGTGCTTACTTTGCCGACGTAATCGTTAGCATCGCCTTCAAGAGTGACATGAATACCCTTCGTCATGAAAGCGCAGAAACTCTGGCCCGCAGAGCCTTTCATCTTGATATTGATGCTATGTTCGGGCAATCCAGCCTCTCCAAATCGTCTGCGAAGCAATCATAAGATAAATGAGAATAAGAAAATTAGAACGATTGGTAAACAATATAAATTATATATCAGTTCTTCGTTGAATTTTTTTTTACATGAAGAACTCGGGAATAGCGGCGTACTTACTTGGCTACATGATAACTCAGCGTCGATCCGAATGCCCTACATTCGTTGTTGATATTCATTTCCATGTCAACTCGAGTGTGTACTCCGTTCAAAATAGGCTCGGCCAGTTCAATTAGTTTATTGTCGAGTCTGTTCTCCAGCTGGAAGTCTTGTTTTACAGTGCCGCCTCTGATATTCACGCCGGGTCTCAAGTCCAGTGCGTTTCGCAGGATATTGCTGAGATTCAAGGTCTTGGCTTTTTCAGAATTGTCGTCGCGTACTTTAAGGAGGTCTGTGCGCCCGATTAGATCCTGGAACTTGCGGATTCCCAGGTTTGCCATGTGTGAACGTACCTGCAGAAACAAGAAAAATAACACTTCAATTTAATAGACTCGTGTGTTTATAATAATTAAATTATTATATTTATATATTCAAGTTTAATTTCAACTTAGTAAGAATCTCATTAAACAAAAATATTTAAAAGAATAAACAAGGAAATAATACAATAAAAACGCATGACACATTAACGAGGTACTTTAGCAGAGGCTAAACATCAATTGGAAGGCACGGTAAAATGAAAACATTCAAGTCGTCCGTACCTCTTCAGCCAACGCGAAGAAGAAATTGATGACATGTTCCGGCTTGCCCTCGAATTTCTTTCGCAATACCGGATCTTGCGTGGCGATGCCCACCGGGCACGTGTTCAGGTGGCACTTTCTCATCATTGTGCAGCCCATTGCGATTAGCGGGGCGGTGCTGAAGCCGAACTCGTCCGCACCGAGCAGCGCAGCCACCACGATGTCGAAACCCGTGCGCATCTGGCCGTCCGCCTGAACAATCATGCGCGACCTCAGATTGTTTAGAGTCAACACCTGATGCGTCTCGGCGATGCCTAGCTCCCAGGGCAATCCGGCGGACTTGATGCCGGTCCAACTGCTGGCGCCGGTGCCGCCGTCGTGGCCTGATATCACCACGTGCTCGGCCTTGCCCTTGGCGACGCCGGCGGCGACGACGCCCACCCCGACCTCGGACACGAGTTTGACGGAGATACGGGCGTTTGGATTGGCGCACTTGAGATCGTAAATCAGCTCGGCCAGATCCTCGATCGAATAGATGTCGTGATGCGGTGGCGGCGAGATCAAGCCGACCCCAGGTACAGAGTGTCTGGTGGCAGCGATCTCTGCGGTGACCTTGTAACCGGGAAGCTCGCCGCCCTCACCGGGTTTCGCGCCCTGAGCCATCTTGATCTGCAAGTCGTCTGCATTTGCCAGGTAACTGGCAGTAACGCCAAAGCGACCACTCGCTACTTGCTTGATAGACGAACGCTTGCTAAACTCCGGATCCTGGTTCAGATATCTGTTGGATAACGATAAACAGTTACAGGTCCAATCGATCGATTCTTAATTAGTCGCGATAGTTGCAACAATAATTTAACGTTTTCAAACTCTTAGATCATAAAATCCCTCATTATATTTTTGCCCTCGTTATACCTGTCCGCGTTTTCACCGCCTTCGCCGGTGTTGGACTTGCCGCCGATGCGGTTCATAGCGATTGCCAGGGTAGCATGAGCTTCCATGGAAATGCTGCCGAAACTCATCGCGCCAGTCGCGAAGCGTTTCACAATTTCCGACGCGGCTTCCACGTCCGTGATGGAAATCGGATTGCGCGACTTCTTCAGCTCCAGCTGGCCGCGCAGAGTGCAAGCCTTCACCATTTCCATCGTGGTCTTGCGATAATTTTCGTAAGCAGGGTTGTTTTTGGAGACAACATATTCCTGATGAAGAAAAGATCTTTAGGATGAAGACTTTGCACACAATTACGTTTTTCTTTACGTTATAGTAAATGCAAATTGTCAATAGTTTTTTCGTCTTTAAGACACTATGTCTTCGTTACCTGTAGACTAGCAATGCTCGCGGGATCATTGATATGTTTCTCGCCGCCGGATCGCCAGTGATAAATCCCTGGATTGCGAATGACCAGCATATCCATTGGTTTGTCCCAATACGTTATTTGATGCCGCTCGAACGCCTCCTTGCCCAAAATATCGAACGTCACGCCGCCAATACGAGAATGAGTACCCTGGAAAATTTGAGTATGCGTAATTAGCGATTAACAAAAATATTACTTACGATGTAACATGATAAATAAAATTTAATTAAGATGCATCATTAACAAATTTGAATCATTATGCTCATTAATTGGATCCAGTTATTAATCATTTGCATCTGAGAAAAACAAAGTGATACTCTTTGAACAAATTTATAATTTATTAAAAAATATTTACAAAAATGACAAACGTTTGAAACATACGTTATTTGTGTGGGCGTGCTTATTTATTAAAAGTTAGTTTTGACAAAGCAAATATATTTTTCTTAAGAAATTCTCATATCTCTTGGGCCACAATATGAAAAATACCTTAAAGCATTTATCGATGACTTCGTCGGCCAATCCAACCGCTTCGAATATCTGCGCTCCTTTGTAGGATTGCAAGGTTGAGATTCCCATCTTTGCCATCACTTTCGCGATTCCTCGGTCCATAGCGTCTGCGTAATTCTGTGGAATTTAAGCGATTAGATAATTTTTCTATCCACCTTCCACATTCAAACAATAACAACTTTTTATTATTAACATCTCAAAACAATGATTTTCCTTTTGTGAGGCTTACCTTATAAATAATATCGTCATTAAAAGTTTCGTCGAAAACGTGATCCGCCCTCAGATTTTTCGCCATCTCGAACACTAAGTAAGGACATATGGCATCTGCTCCGTAACCGAGTAGCACGCAAATATGATGCACCTCTCGAGCCTCGGCAGTTTCCAATATGAGACCGACCTTCATGCGCTGCCTCTCTTCGATTAAATGATGATGGGCAGCGCCCAGAGCTAACAGGCTGCTTACCGGAACTCTAAAGTCGAACAGACGCGAATTACAGTCCCATTTCTTTCAGATTCGCTCTGGAACATGTCGATATTTTGTTTCAGATTGAGCTCACCTTGTCGGACCACCCTGTCGATCGGATAGCACGAGGAGCTGATAACCGGCCCTAGCAGCCGCATTAGCCTCAGTGTTAACGCGATCCAGCGTCTTCAACAAACCGCCAGGCCCGTCTTCAATAGGGTAAGTGATATCGATCACTTTTGTTCTCCAATTACGATGAGTCGTGTGCTTGAGAACCTCAAGATCGCCCAGAGACAATATCGGTTGGGGCAAGAATAGGCGGTGCACTTGCAATTCGTTCGGTTCCAGAATGTTACTCTCGGGTCCGATTGGGCAGAGCATTGACATTACGATCTTCTCGCGGAATGGATCGATCGGTGGATTCGTTACCTATACATTAACGCACATGTCAAATACGTACGTTAGATCGTACTTGATTGTTAAACCAATTTCTGTAATTTCTTTCGTCGCTTTTCTTTTACATTTTTTCGTCTTCAATTAACGATAATTAATTTTTTTGCGTACCTGCGCGAATAGTTGCTTGAAGTATTCGTATAACAGTGGTTGGAATTCAGACAAACACGCCAAGGGAGCGTCGTTGCCCATAGATCCCAATGCTTCTTTCCTGAAAGAAAAGTTTCGTTGTTCGTGAATATTTATTATTAATTAAAACATTATTCACGAAAAAATTATAACGTATTAAGATACATGATTACACAATCTCGACTCTATCAAAGGGGAAAGGATATTTTCATAAACAACATTAGCAATAATATCGTTTAGTGATAATTCATTAAATTTGCATAATCGGTAATTCTTTGAATTTACGCGAATCTAGTATTTTTACTTCGTTATTGCATATAAAATATTATTATTCCTATCACATTTTCATATGGCGTTGAAAGGAGAAAATTTGTTGGCGTACGTACTTAGTTTGCACCATGGGCAAAAGTAATAGATTGATGGTCTCCAAAGTGTAACCGTAAAGAGAGAGCCGTTTGTCGCCGCTCCAAACTCTATTCACGACCGAAACCTCATTTACGCCGTTGATAGCGTTCTTTTTCGCGATGGCTGTCTCGGCGGACAGACCGTTCTCGATCACGTCCCCTGCATTGCTGTTGCGAACATGTGCGGCACGCAATTCATCCATGGTGATCTGCGTTCAAGACCGCATTGTCAATTACTAATTGCCGAAGTTAAGAGCGTCACCAAATGAAAGATTGAAGAGTAGAACTGGTACCGCAATTTTGAATATATTTTCATGATCGAGCGTACAGGCAGATATCAAATCGGGAGTTCTGTTAGTGATTGATTAATTGACAAATTAATAACCGGAAAAGGTAAAGTTAATAGATGCTGCGAACCTCCATGCAAAAAAAATTATCCGAGATATTTTTTCGCGGATACTTTTCTACTTGCTCGTGATATTTATCTACTACTACCTACTTATACATGCTAATTTGTGTTTTTCTACTATATTGCTACCTCCACCCAGTTTACCGTATTGAAAGAAACCAACGTACTCAAAATGGTATGATTAGAACAACTCACCCTCTGCGTGTCGACGATAACAGCATGTACAGCAGTGTAAAAAAAAGTTAGTTTTGCATTAGAAATGTTTTTTTTGCGACGATGTAGATGTAAGTTTTAATACAATTATTGTGATTTTCATTAAAATGAACGGGATTTCTGAGTTAAATATTTGACGAAGCAAGACACACACGCACACGCACACACATTGATGACTTTAGAATGCGTTAGTTGACTAATTAGGTGTATTAATTGACTGAGTAATTGATGTGTGCAACGAGGAGACAGAAAAGCGAGGGGTGACTTAATTTTCGAGTTGCCTGATATTATTCTTTATGCAAGCACGTTAAGTCTAATATGCCTTATGTATAAAACACAAGTTGTATACAGAGTATCGCGTAATCGCGTAACCTCAGGAAAGCATTACGATAGAAAGGTTCGTCCGACAGAATTTACCGTTCTATCGTTCGATAGAAAAATGAGGTAATAAAAGTCTTTTTAACTTTGATCTCGAACGACAATCTTCTTAAATGGGATGTAAAATTTGGCCTTATTCCCGAAGTAACACTTGATTGATCGCGAATCGATCTCGATTGGGGGAAAAGCTGCGTTTAGCTACCTGTTCCTTGAGCCACTTGGAATGAGACCTGCTTCGAGCGATCTGCAACTTGAGCTCGACATCCTGTATGATCCTCTTCTCTTCGGTGTCAACGAGAAGCATCCGGCCGGGCTTCAAGCGACTCTGCAAATAAAAGAGTACACCAATAATCGCCATAGAACGGGTTCGACACGTCGATGATCGACATTCATATGACAGCACTGGATGACGGTCCTACAGCTCTATACAAACCTAGTCCCTAGATGACAAATTATACATCATACATGATACATGATCAAAAAATAAATAAAATACGATATATGTGATTAGCTATTATACATGTACACTAACATACAGCGAGTAGGTATTGCGGATCGATCGATGACAGTCTGCCCTTACCGACTCTTTGGATATCGCTATCGGTTTACCTTTAATCCTCGAATGTGACATTTCTGCAGCCTTATTAAGAGGAACGAGAGAAAATATACATTTGAGGATCACCGAATCCTGGATGAAGTCAGTGACGATCGTCTCAATGGCTGGCATTGGTGATGATCGGCCAGTGTAAAGGCAGAGTGCCAGTACATTACATTGTTTCGGTAATATCTGAGATCTATAGAATTCGCACAAAGTCATCCGACGAGCGTTAAAATGTAAATTGCTTTACTCTTGTCCGCACGGCAGAACTCTGTTTATCGGTCCGTCTATACGCGAGCATCTGTCTCGATGCGCTCGATTGGTCATTTCAGGCGCAACATTACACTTGTTAGGGACACTCGATGGAGACGATCACGCTTCTTGCTTCCGACGGAGATGCCAAAATGTAATGAGTAATGTATTTGTTAGACATAGATGAAATACGGTGAGAAAAAAAGTGATCTGTGTAGTAAACAAATCGCATGATGGTGCTTGCATCCCAGAACGAAGACGCCCATAGATTTAAGAACCTGGCCGAGGACGCAACATACGTAACCAAGGACGCACATGTGATCAACGATTTGTATAATCAAAGACCTCTGGAACTCAAAATTTGCGTAAGCATGCAATTATCAAGCCGTAAATCTGCAAAAACCATTATTCCGTGGAATCAACAAGCCATGCGTCCTCCCGGCTCTGCCCCTTTGAATTTTACCGTCGGGAAATCTCGACTCTTTCGACCTTCTAATAAAGAGAGTTCTGCCGTATCGCCGACCTCCCTCCCTTTTCTCCTCCTCTAATGAGAAATCAGCGGGAGGTCAATAAAGCGGGTTCTTTTGTGACACAATAATAATCAGTCGACGAGACAAATGTGAACCGTCGAGAATGATGGCGAGAAGACGCGTTATCAAAGCTAGATATGCGCCCGAGAGTTTCGCTGACGCAAGACTCGCTCCGTCGGGGAGGATTCTCGAAAGCACTCAAGCGAGGACCGACTCGATCTCGTCGTCCGTTGAACAATCTCCCCTGACGAAAGTCGCTCTTGGCCGGCGAGACTTTCAAGTGACGTTAAAAAATCCAAGGCGGCTTATTCGCGCGACAAAATGCGCAAGCATTGCTTTTGTACAATTGTAATATACGAGCAGGCTCTTTCGTTGCCTTTCCGTAGAGAGAGACATCCTTGGCCAGGGAGAAAAGGGTCTAACTTGTCCGGACAGACCACCGACAGGCCTCCTCGGTCGCTCTTCCACTAGCTGAAATTGCTGTATATCGGGGAGAAATGTAGAGAATAGGCGCGGAGATGAGAGTAAAGGGGGCTGGGGGGAAAAAAGATTGAGCATACGAGGGTTGATTCGTCGCGTAAATCATATATCACTGCGAGCTAGCTGTCTCTGCCTCAGACAGAGTGAGAGACACTCCCGTGGAATCGGCTGGTGCTTGGGATGCGCATATTTCCTTCGTTTACCTTCAGGACTACATTGCTGGGCGGAGTATCATAGACGCCCACTTCGGACGCCATCACCATCATGTTATCCTTAGTGACGTAGAAGCGCGACGGGCGCAGGCCGTTTCTGCCAAACAAAAATTCAAAAAGGTCTTTTGTATTTCACGCCACCTCTGTGTCTCGCGCTAGGTATCAGCTGAGTGAACTACATTGCTGTTCGTTCGTTCGCTTGCCTTCCTGCTGGCTTACTCGCGTTATACTCTCTTTCTCTCTCTCTTTCGTTCTCTATATCATCATTCTTTCTCTCGCTTTCTCAGTCTCTTGGCCTAGGCCCTATTTACCTGCGTTAGCAGCACGTTGGGACAACGATGGACACTTAGTAAATCGTAAACATCGATTCTCGCTTTGGCTGTACAGAACAAGGCAGGGCAAAGGGAAGTCGTGCGAAATTTTTCTACTTGTTTCTATAAGCTTTCGCGTGACATTTTTACATTTACTTTCATTTTAAGTAACTATTGCTCGTATTTTATAGTAACTTTCGACTTTGCGAGATGCTTACTGTGGATATTAAAGTAGTGAAGTAAGTAATTGAAAGTATAAGTGGATGCTACAACAAGTATAAATCAAATGTCATTTATATTATTTTAATCGAGGGATAAACCGCTGAGGGCATTGTGGTGTACAGATTTGCAACATTACTGGGCATTACTAGGCATTTTTTGGGCCTTACTGGGGCATTATAAAACTAAGATAAAACAAGATAAGATACAGTAATAGGCATTGGTGCACATGACTTTGGTCAGTGGTTTACCCCTCAATTGCAATAGACAAGAGCATAGAAGAGAAAATTTTATTATTATTAAAAGAGACCAGTATGTGTGTGGCAGGAAAACTAAATAATTTCGGAAAACGACACATTTCTGATTTACGGCAAGTAAAGGCCAATTTTCAATTTTTCAGGAAATTTCTATCTATAACATTTTCTAGAATCAATTCTAGAATCCTAGGACAGTGAATGGGTTACACTTTCATTTACAATTACCGCTCGTTAATGCGAACCTTCTACTGTCATGTAAAAATAAAATCGCATCTCGATTGAACGGAAGCTTTAATAACTTCCTTAAAGTTATTGAAGCAATTTTTGTAAAAATACCCTTACAAAGGAATCTATCTATTTTCCTCAATGAATATTTTTATCGTGTCATTTTAATCCGCGTAATTTCTATAGTATAATAACTGGATTCGCGGGGCAAGGGGTGTTTTTATTTATCCCTCGTTCGATTGCACGACTTCCCTCTGCCTTAGAAATCCATGTTTACCTGTACCCGAGAATATCTCTACACACGTGTGCACCGTTCTCATATATTTCGTGAGCACCGTTAATCCTGCTGAATGCGTCTTGCAAAGTGTAGGCAATACGCCCACGTAGCCTAGCATTCTTTCTTCGCGGCTCCCCTAACAAACGACACCGCAGAGTCCTTTCGTTCGGCTCGTTTCTCTTTCAATGGAATGCTTTCAACACTTTGAATTCCACTTCAGTTCAATTCTTTGCATCTCCACATTCTGCTACATTTATTTTCAGCTGTACTTTGAAGAGCTTTCCAATAACGAGCAAGCGCTTTCATAGCGATTTATATATTAAAATCGCGCAAATAAAACTAAAAGGCAAGCAAGTACCTGCTGTATTATCGCAGGAATTCTGCAAAGAGTTAATTAGATCGCGCGACCTCCTTTAATTTAATGAATATTTATTCTCAGCTGTCAACGCGGATTTTAGGTTTATCGGTGCGAAACATTTTATTATTTCTTTGCTCTTGGCAAATTCGATATTTCTTTGTTTGAGAAATACTTATGACACCAGACGATTCTTTGCGGTATTAATTCGCTATTGCACGGAATTATTTCAGTGCAAAGAACTCACTCGCTTACCTGTGCAGCTTCCAGCAAATTTAAGTGAATTCTTTCTAATGGTTTTCGGGAATCTTATGCAACAGCGAATTAACACACGCATTCATCTCCCGCACTTTTTGGACACGTTGGACAGTTAAGAATTTAATTTATCGCCGCATTTATTTCATCTTAGCAATCCGATATCTATCAATTTATAAATTTCAGAATTTTTTCAACCAATACGTAAGCCAACGAATATCTCACGTCGTTAATGTTTGGCAATAATTTCTCTTCGCCATTCTTAAAAGACATTTATACCAAAGAGATATTTACATTTAACGTCAAAACATTTTGAAATATAAAATGCGGCAACGTGCAACGTCAGCGCGACTGGATTCAAAGTGTTGAAAAGTCAACGGGGCCAAAGATCCAAGAATCCGCACAACCGCGAATCACTCTCGATCCGGGCAGTCGCAGACTCGTGGGTCTATGGGCACAAAATGTGGCAAAGGTTACCAGATAGCACGAACGAGAGGGAAGTGGAGCCTACGTAAAAACGTGTGATAAACATGGCGTGACGAGAGATAGAAAATTTCTACCTGTCCAAGGTAGCGCCGACGTAACGGCCATCGGTGAAGGTCAGAAGAGCCGGGCCGTCCCAGGGTTCCATGGCGCAGGCCGCCCAGTGGTAGAAGTCCCGCTTTTCAGTGGCCATCGTCAAGTCGTTCTGCCAAGCCTCCGGTACCATCGTCATGACAGCCTGGATTCAGTAACATTTCAAGCGTTTGTTCGAGGATCGAGATTCACGAAATCAAGAAACTGCAAAACTAAGGAATCGTAATGCGCGATCGTAGTATACGTGGCGAACCGGGGAACTGATGGGATGAGGAGCGTTAAACATGTAAAGTTCTTCGAACAGTGGTATTCTCAGATCCTTTCGAAGCAGAGGCGGGGATTATCTCGAAAAGAGAGAGATTCGAGTGTCTAGGAAAAGCAGGGAGAAAGCCCTTAAAAATTAAGGCTTTACGAAGTTAAAGATTATCACAAAGCTTTGTGCTGTCAAAGAGAATTCCTAGAATCTTTGAATCTGTGAAAGCTAACTCGTGAAAACAAGTATCTTTGAGAAGAATAGTTCACAGAATCGTGAAATCAATTTCCTATGAAGTCGAGGGTTTATAGCAATACTTAATATTTGTTAGACGGCGTTTCTGGTTTAATTTCATAACGTAAATTCACCTCGGGCAACGAGCGTTGTCCCGCCATCACCAAGAACTCGAGTACACAGTCCGCCGATCCAGAGTCAGAGAGATTCGGTTCTACGACAGGGTAGAGCTGCTTCAGCTGATCCCCGTATATCTGGCTGCTCATCACGCCCTCGCGCGCCTTCATGAAGTTCACATTGCCGCGCAGGGTATTAATTTCACCGTTGTGAGCAAGCAAGCTACGAACAAACGTTATACGGATTATTACGGCTGCGGTTTGTAAAATGTCCCGCGGAAACTACGATTAAATTACGCCAAAATCTTATTTATCGCTGTAACGAAGGACTACTCGGAACCTGTGTGGGCAGAATTGGCCGCGTTGTCTACAAAACAGACGAGTCGCGGATTTTTGGTATGCTCGACAATACGCGGACAAACGGAACAAGGGTAAAGGTGTAACGAAACAAGTATTAGATAATTAATACGCCGACCTTGTTCTTAAAACGGAATTTATCATTTGAGTCGTCATAAGCGAGTAAACACTCTAATTTTATGACAGTAATAAAAAAAATACTTGAAAAAGTTCGAACAGTTCTATTTGTACTTTATCAGTGTTTACCTTCAGTCACAAAAATAAATTAACAGTTTTGTATACTTTTCATATAAATGAACAATATGATTATACACATATGATCGAAAGCAGAGAACGCGCAAAAATTCTCGGATTATTTTATTTATGTCGCTTGTACAAATTGACGAAATTGAAAAAGTTTCAACAGTTCTATTTGTACTTTCAAGGTCCATTTTATCAGCTTTATTTTGCAGTCTTTTGATCACAAAATAAATTAACAGCGTTGTATATTCTTCGAGCAATATAAATAAACAATACGATCGTGTGATCGAAAAGAGAAAGCAAAATTCTTGTACTTTTTATTTATATCGCTCGTGAAAAATAACGAAATTAAATAAATACAAATATTTCTGTATTCCCAACCCACTATTAAAAGGGATTATTGCTGATATATCGTAAATTGCTGCTGATAACATCTTATCCATGATATTTATGGGATTCTGTGTAGACTCTTACCGTAAAGGATGCGCCCTTTCCCAACTCGGAAAAGTATTTGTGGAGAACCGTGTGTGTACCAGTGCCAGATAGGTCTCGAATTTCGGAGACTGGTATGAAAGAGGAAAAAAAATGCGATATTACATTACTGTTTCCACGACGGCACACATAATGCATTTTATGTAAGACTTCCAGACGCAAACGGCACGTTTTCTTGAGGCAAAAGAAAACGGTACAGAAATAAACTCACGGACTCACCTTCAAGTCCGTGAAATACAGCCATAACTGATCAGCGGTGAGCTGACCTTTGTAGACGACCGTCTTCAACGACAACGAGCAAATGTAGTATCGCAATTCCGGCCGCGGGATTGAATGCGACGATCTCTTCCTCAGCACGAAAATCTGGCCAACAGAATACGATCGAAACGTAAAATCTGAAACGTATAACTAGTGATCGATCAAACAAAGGGTTCGCGTTTTAACCTTGAAAATCGCGACTATCTGCGACGAATCCGAGTTCTAATTTTATAAATTGGCAAAGTCGTTTAATGCCAAGTCGTTTAACCCGCGATATAGTGCGCGCAACTTTGGATTCATTAATAATTAATCCTTGGGGAGTCTTCCAAACTAGGCTCCGAAGAGGCAACGTACGGAGATATTCGATTAATTACCGAGCAATATAACAATGTACATTTTAGTAACAACGGTAAACCGGACATATAAAATATCAGTTAATGCTGATTAAATAAATCTGATAAAATTAATCAGTTGAAATTATCTCTTAATTGTCATATTATTATATACAAAGCTAGAATTTAGAGAGGTACGATTAAACGCTGACCACAAAACTGATGGATTTCACAGTTCGAAGTTAGGAATTAAGCAAATTACCTGTCGTTTAAGCGTTTCCGCATCTTGATCGCCGGTAACGAACACTTGACGCATGTACGGTTCGCACTTCTTCGCCACTTGGCCAATCTGGGTGCTATCAGTGGGAACAGTACGCCAACACAGCACCTACGAATCACGCGACCTCGAGAATATGCCAGATACCGTACAACAACGCGGTAATTTAAGCATTCGAACCGATAAACAAGTAACAGTAATGATATCCTACTCTTAAATTGCACTCCTTAGCGAGCTTCTCAAATGCGGCTTCTGCTTCCTTATGGGTGTTTTTGTCAAGGAATAATATACCGGTCGCGTATCGTCCGAACTCGGGCAGTTCGATGTTTCCTCGTTCGCTGCAATGCAAAAAATAGCAACTGATTCGTCACGTTCGGATCAATATTCTGTAAAATTAACGATTTGTCAAAAGCAGTACAAGGATTTGCGGATTAGAGAAACTAAGGATCTGCAGACTCAGGGATCTGTGACGAAAGATTTAGAGAACTATGCCAAGGTGTGTGTGTGTGTGATTTCGATTTGCGCTCAGATTATCGTAGACATGAATTCATAAAAAGTAATGGACATTTAAAAGTTCAGGAATAAGTTTTGTGGATTTGAGGGAATTTCTATGAGAATCTGAGAGAATCTTTCGTAATCTCTGTGAGAAATAATTTCTACTGTGAATCGCAGAAACTACGTGTAATCGTCCTTCTAATTGCGGTTAGCTGTTTATAAAATGTTCTCAATTTTAGATGTTCGATCTCCAAATAGTGAGTGCAATATACGAAGATAAAATCGAAACTAATAAACATGCAACGGTAATTCAGACGTGAGCCTCTGATTTTCATATTGGCATTTGCGCTAATTTTCAATTAAATTTCAACGTTAACTGTAATTAAATTTTCACTTTAATCGAGGAGCAAGTTAAATGTGACACAGGCACTTGGACGATTAAATCGGATTAAATCGGAAGTCTCATGAGTACGTCGGAAGATATAAAAGTCTCAGAGACTAAGCTCGATCTCGTCGACTAATAAGCATGTCGCTGGGCTTCTTACCGAATCTCATTGGCATAATAATCGTGCGGTATTGCGCAAAGCACACCGGCACCGTCACCAGTATCGTTATCGCAGGCGCATGCCCCTCTATGATTCATTCGCGCCGACAATGTCTGAGCATCTCGTACGATCTGAAATTCGCAGATAACGACGATAAGTGTGAGAAGACCGATCCAATCTACGGGTCGTCGCGCAATGAAAACATAAGATCGCGAAATTCATACGTTACCAAGTGAGCTGTTTGTCTCCAAGCCGGAGAACTCTCGTTTCTCTCTCTCTTAGACATTTAATTGATTTATATTCCTGTTTGGTCTAATCGTTTTCCCGCATACTCCAACTCTGTTTTTAAAATTGCGCGCAATTCTAAGCTTCGAAATCGTAACTCGACTTTACATAAATCTTCGACTCTCACGACTTTAAAATAGCGACATAATTACTCGAGACTTTTTATTGTCCACAATTCAGAACTTTTTCCCTAGATCTGTCTAAGGAAGCTCATCAGTACGCTACACATTATTACTGTTTTCCGCATTTATCTCTTTATGACACATTTTTATTCGCTCTGCGCGATACAACGCAAAATACGGACGTAAATCTATAATAGATTACAAAGATCAAACGCGCGACACTCGAGAGAGACGCGGATCGTTCTTTGAACTTGACACGTAAAAGACAGACGAAGCTTAAAATCGACTCACCTTGTGCGACCTCTTCCCGTCAATGGCGACGATAAAGCCAACGCCGCAAGCCTCTCGTTCGAGGGTAGGGTCATATAGACCTTGCTTCGGAGGCAAGGTCCACGGCTCGGAACTCATAATCTTAATCTGAAAAGCGAGGAGAGAAAAATTCATCGCGTCATTTCGATCGATAATAACTTGTTAATTGCCTCAACTGTCTCTTTTTTTTTCTCTCTTATACGCAAATAACCGGAATAAGTGTCAACGGGTGGGGGGGGGGGCAAACCGCTGAGGGCATTGCGGTGTACAGATTTGCAGCATTACTGGGCGTTACAAAGATAAAATAAAATGAAACAAGATAAATAAGATAAAATAAGATAACAAGATAAAGTGATGCCCACTGGGCACTGGTGTACAAGATCCCCCGAGGGATAAACCGCTGACCAAAGTCTGAGGGCATTGTAGTGTACGAATGTGCGGCATTGCTAGGCATTTTTTGGGCACTATAAAATCAGATAAAACAAGATAAAAAAGTAATGCCCGCCGGGCATTAATAGGCATTGGTGTACATGCTTTTGGTCAGCGGTTTGCCTCTCTCGAGTTTTACAAGAGAAATATTTTTTAAACAATTTTCACGCTGGAGCGAGGATTCGTTGCTAAACGGCCGAGATGTCACGTGTCCCTTTCAGCTCTCGCTGGTACAATTGTCTGTGAATTTTGAACTCGGAATTTTAAATGGGAAACAAAATTGCTGCCTCGTCCCTTCCGATTCGCAGATTCGTAAAGTTGGCGCGTGCTGTGATCTGTCGGGTCCTCGGACAGATAGGCGTTTATAGCTGCGCAATTAGAAGTAGCGAGGGGTAAACCGCTGACCAAAATCATGTACATACACCAATGCTTACTAATGTCCAGTGGGCATTACTTTATCTTATTTTATCTCGTTTTATCTTTTTAGATTCTTCATAATAGCCCAGCAAGGCCAAATAACACTTGCCGATGCCCAAAAAATGTCAAGTAATGCCCGAAATCTCTACACCACAATGTCCTCGGCGGTTTATCCCTCGAGGGGGCGGAGATTGCGTGAACGACGGAGGAAGGAGTCCAAGTTTCGGAGCGATTCGCAGGATATCGCATCGTCGGCATTACGTAAAGCCAGCGCGTATTCATTAAAGCGTAACAGATACGCGACGTCGCCGTCGCCGCCGCCGTCGTCGTGTCGTTATAACGGCAGCGAACCGCGTTCGGTGTGTAAACAAAACGAAGAAAATACGTCAAAGAGATCGGTGTCGCGACGCGTTCACGTGGCCGACCGATGTACCGAGCGTGCAACAGGGGTGGCCAATCAATCGTTCGATCATGTTCCTCGGCTCTTCCTCCGCGTCCCTCCCGAGTCCCTTTTCATTTGAGTTTTTTTTCCGCTGTACCCGAGACGCGATCGTATAATTGAGCACCGACGTACGTACCGGGAACGCATTGCTCCGGGCTCGCACCCAAGAACTCCGATTTCATTTATTGAAACCTGACCGTTAGGTAAAGAATGGCATACGTGTTCTATTTTTCTCCGACCTTCGCTATTCGGTTTTTTTTAACCCTTTGTCAGTTCAGCTGGATATTATGATCGTTAAGATATAGTCTTATCGGGCGAATCTTATCGAACCGATTAAGAAATAAGTAACATAAATTTGCCGACAGATTAATAGTACATTTTAAAATAAGACGCAAAAGGAAAGGGAATGGTCGAGATAGAGATAGGCAAATACATCGCTGCAGTATATTTTCGAGCCAGTGAAACGAAGAGTAATTTCCTACATCATCGAATCATTTTCACTGAAAGATATAGGAGGCCGTTCTCGTACGAAAGTAGATTTTCGTTTTATCGAAATTAGACCGATAATAGAAAGCGGAACGTTTCCCTCTTTTATCTCTCAGTAATAAACCATAATAATTCGTGTTTGTACAACGTACCCAGCAAACACAGAACATTGCGGCAACAGAATATAAATGACTGTGATAATTCCTGATAAGCGTAGGCTATTACGTAGAAATCAGGATCGGGTAAGTTATCGTTTTTTTTAAAACTAAGTTAAGTTAAAGTTAACAGCCTTGAAAATTTAACTTAGTTAAGATACAAGTTAATCCGTGATACAATTAATTGAATCAAAAGTTAAGTTAATGATAAAAAATTAAAAAGTTAAAAGTTAAATGTTTTATTTGTACATAAAATCTCAGAGACTTACGATCACGTAAATTGCATTAAATTTCGCGACTAGGGCTTGAACAATTACTCACATTACATATTTAATATATGCAAACAATTTCACGCGAGTTCGAGAATCAAAACCCCATATAATGGCTGTGTTCCAAAATTTATTACCAGAGCTGAAGATCTACGGTACACATACACAGTAGATTTTAGAGCTGGCAGTGAATTTTGAAACACAGAGACTGCCAATGTAGGCAGACACACGGCGTCTCGCGACGCCTTTAATTGTTTATGGCGTTTTATTTTTATTTTCTGGTTAATTGTTAACCAGAGGTTGGTCGACCCTCTGTCTCTTCTCAGATCAATAACATAGAAAAAGATGCAGAGTCGACTAACTTCTCGTTAATTGTTAACCACAAGTTAGTCGACTCTCTATCTTTCTTTTTGTTATTATCTAAACAGAGACAGAGTTCGACTAACTTCTGGTTAACAATCAACCAGAAAATGAAAAGCCGGGCCTAAGAGAGAGGTAAATTAAAAGTTAACAGTCTATAATGCAACTAAATTAAGTTAAAATTATTTAACTTTTTAACTTGACTTTTATCTTTTTAACTAAACACTACCTAACCCTGGTAGAAGTAGATTACAAGCTCGCGACTCGTCGAGTCGCAAAATGCACCAGCACACTGAAAAAAAAATCTGATTGATTCAACCAGTCGTCTGTTAGAAAATGGACGAATCAGAATTCCTTTAGGATTTACCAGATTTGTAGCGAAGTCTAAGAAACTTCTGGTTACGAAATATCTTTCATGGTAAATCCTAAAGGAATTCTGGTAAGTCCTAAAGGAATTCTGGTAAATCTTAAAGGGATTCTGAATCGTCCATTTTCTAACAGACGACTGGTTGAATCTATCAGATTTTTTTTTCAGTGCAGGATTTCGCAGGACTTGCTGTAACCTCGCGTGTGCAACACGAAAGTGTCGCGCCCAATGCCAAGCCTAGAACGGAAATCAGATCGACGTCCCCATTTAACGTTAAACACGCGTCTTGAAAGCGCGCCAAGGAATCCGCGGAAAAAGCGACGACCGGCAAACTCGCGAAGGTTGACCACCTCTGTCGGCAGTACACCACGTGCGATAGGAAGCAGCGGAGGAAGCGAGGGATCGATCGATCCGACATACAGGGTGTGTCTGGAAGCGCCGGCTAAGACCTGGCGGCTCGTCCTCGGAGGATGCTGGACGTTTCCGAGGATCGATGAGGCGGCGGAGAATTTAAAAGGCCTACGGGGGAACAGAAAGCTCGAGGCTCGGCAGGAGGATTACGGAAGTCGATGACTTTCGACAGTTATCGCCACCTATTTACACATGTACTTCTGAAAATACGTTTCAGGTTGAAAAGCGAGGGGGGAACCGCTGATCAAAATCTTGAATGTACACGCACCGGCATAAATGCTGTCCCTATCCTTGTGAGGTGCACGCACACAACTAGAGTCCCTGTAGTTGTGTGCGTGCATCTCACAAGGATAAGGACAGCATTTATGCCGGTGCGTGTACACCAATGCCCACTAAACGCCCAGTGGGCATTACTTCATCTTATTATCTTATTTTATCTTTATAATGCCCCAGCAAGGCCTGATGCCCAAAAAATGCCTAGTAATGTAGATACATTTTATTGATTCCCCTTAGGGTTACAAGGCGTTTCTGAAGGAACGTGCCCAAACCTCTTATAACACCTCTCTCTATATCCACTTCTCTATGTGGCGATCGAACGAAAAACCAACAATGTTTTGTTTGATTTTGAACCCAGATCTTCGGATTACCAGACCAGCGCACAATCCTCTGCGCCACGATCGCCACCAAAAAATGCCTAGTAATGCTCAGTAATGCCGCAAATCTGTACACCACAGTGCCCTCAGCGGTTTCTCCCTCGTCGAAAAACGCGCCCATCACGCTCCTCCGTCATGCTTCTGCGTCATGTACATAAGCGGAAAACGTGCTCTCTGTATACAGACAGCTAATGATAACGTAATCGCAATCTTTCGGCGATTAAGAGATAATACTAATAATACTACTAGAAAGATAACGTAAAGGAGAGCGAGATGCATAGATCTTTTATACTGATATTTATGAAAATGCGACGTTAAATTGAAAGTGGGATTAGAGCTCGTCCTGATGTTTTTTTCCGAGACTGGATGGTCGTTTCGACGAATCATTATGCCAGCCTGATTTCGTTATTAAGACCAACACGGTTACAGCGCGTGCAGAATGGCCCGTGGATTTTGGGATCGAAGCGTTCCCTCGAGACCGCGAGTGGGCTAGTAAGGATCAGGAATCCACGATGGTGGTGTTCCAAAATTATCCTCGAGCTATTCCGGTCATTTCGGGCCCGGAGAGGAAGAGCGTACCCTCGCGTTCGCGCTGTTATCGTTGAAATTACGCTGCGGCACTGAATTAAACTGTTACCGCATGAAACGCGATAACTATGGAGTTAATCGTCTCCGTATTTATGCGTCGCGATAAGAAATAAGTGGATACGGCGATACGAAGTGGGATATACTAGAAAAATAGCTGTTAGTCTCTTGATCTACGAATTTGTCGACGAATCGTTATCGAGAAATGTTCTGGAGCACTTTCGAACATCGATCACGGTTAATAAATTAATTTCTAACGAAGAGACCGCAAAGTCTCGCCGAAGCGCGATTATTAAAATGGTTTTCAAATTATTATTTTCGTGTGCTCTTTCCGGAGCGCCGGAACGCCATTTAAACTTGGCGTCGCGGAAGCGCCCGACCGCGAAGAAATAAAATAAAATGTCTGCCGATTTGTTATTACATTGAGTGTATCATTCGAAGAAATAGCTTGGTACATAAGCGGTTCTCTTTAGTTGTGTCTAAAAGTTGCTTCGCACATTTAGAAGAATAATTTGTTTTGCTCTATTCTTGAAAAAGAATATTACCTTCTTCTTATCGCTCCCTCTCTTTCTCTCGCGCGTGCATTCCGTCACGGTAGTGAAAACGTGGCGGCTCAAAAATGCCTAAAAATGCATGTAACAAGTCCATCGTGTTTTAATCTGTCCATTCGTGTTTCGAGACCCGTTTCTCACCAAAGCGGCGCAAAAGAGAGAGGGGAAGGTCAAAAGAAAAGAAAAGGACTATGGAGGAACGTTATACGTCAGAACTGGGTTTACTTATGGGAGCATTGGACACTTGGCGAGCCGCATGTCCCTACATACAGGGTGTCCGCGAAAACTATATGTCGATTTCGTCGCAAGCAAACTCGAAATTGTGCATTTTCCCTAAGTGCACAGTTTCTCTCCTCGATACGCTATTACCTTCTGAGACTGTTTCCGCGACAAGTTAAAGTACTCGAACGTAAATAAATAGATTTGTTTTCTGTTCCTGCACCGGTGAACTAGTGCAGTAAGCCGGAATGAGAAAATATATACTTGTCTTACTCTAATTTATTGCACCAGTTCACCAGTGTAGCAACAGGAAAGAAGCGTAATGTTGAGATTCCCTCCCCCCCCCCCCCAGCAGCAGCATTGGCTAAACATTGGTCCAATTGTTACATTAGAAATGCATTGGTCGATATTGTCCAACGTAACGCCAATATTGGCCATGGAATAAATGTAAATGTTGCACGACAATAATTACATAATATTAGATTTATATTGGAAGTGCATTGGCCAATATTTAACAGTGTAATAAGAATATTGGTCTAATACTGGTACAATATTAAACCAATATTGCTAGATAGACTAAATTGGCTAAATAAGAAAAGGCATCCATCTTACAATATTGGAAATATATTAGATTTACATTATTTCCCAATATTGCGCCAATATATTGTGCTACCAGGCAGTAGCACAGTGCATTGTTCCTAAACATTGGTCCAACGTTGGTTACATTAGAAATGGATTGGCCGGTATTGTCCAACGTAACGCCAATATTGGCCATGGAATAAATGTAAATGTTGCACGACAATAATTACATAATATTAGATTTATATTGGAAGTGCATTGACCAATATTTAACAGCGTAATAAGAATATTGGTCTAATATTGGTACAATATTGAACCAATATTGCTAGATAGACACATTGGCTAAACAAGAAAAGGCGTCCATCTTACAATATTGGACCAATATTGGGAATATATTAGATTTACATTATTTCCCAATATTGCGCCAATATATTGTGCTACCAGGGAGTAGCACAGTGCATTGTTCCTAAACATTGGTCCAACGTTGGTTACATTAGAAATGGATTGGCCGGTATTGTCCAACGTAAAGCCAATATTGGCTGCGAAATAAATGCAAATATTGCACGATAATAATTATATGATATTAGATCTACATTGGAAGTGCATTGGCCAATATTTAACCATGTAAAAACAATATTGGTCTAATACTGATGCAATATTAGACCAATATTGGCAACACTAGGTTTACATTGTTTCCCAATATTGCGCAAATATATTGTGCTAGGGCCAACTTAAGATGGTGGAAAAAGTTGTAAGGACAATTTTCAAGAGCGTCAAATGTAATCTTGAACAATGAGATTTTAACGAGGCTCCCTCGAAAGGACAACCCGGCGCGCTTCGTCGCGGGCCGGCGTTTGCACTTCTTTCCTCGCTCCAGCAGTCGACGTGGCGTGCAGTCCCCTCTTACCGGCAGAAATTAGATGCAGGTCGACACAGGCGGGTCGCTCCGAGAGTACGCGCGTCTTCCTTCTCGCCGATCAGCACTGCCGCGGGGACAGGTTCCTCGTGCGATTATCACTTGTCGCTAATTCGATCAGTCGTCTATCGGCAATCGGATCGCCGCACAGAGGTTCCCTCTTCGCTCGGGTGAGGAACACGTCCCGTCGGAAGTCCCGCGGGATATTTACCGCGATCTCGGCACTGTGACAACTCGATTCTCGCCCGAGTTATCGATCTCGATCCTCGACCAATCGGCCCGCGAGGGCAATCACGCGGGGACGTACGATCCTGAGGACCACTGCGAGCTGCCTGGCGGAGGGAGAAGGGCGCCTCGAGTCCTGAATAACGACTCTTCTGCCTCCTCTCAGACCGTTCGGCTTCGATTGTATCGGCTAACGCGCACGAGAGACAGAGAGAGAGGGGGAGGGAGAGAGAAAAAAAAAGAGAGCGAAAGAAGAGGGAAAGAAACACGAGAACCGAACGTACATACGAATCGCGAGTCGGACGGGCACTGAGACGGCGGCGCTCGGATGTCGTTACAAACCGAAAAAGCTCTCCCTTCCCTTCTTCTCCTCCCCCCTCTCCCCTCATGTTAGCCCCTAGACCCCTCCGTCTCTCGTCCTCCCGCGGCTCGGCGCCTCACCCCGTCGCTCTCGTCGACGCGCGACGCGTCTCCCCACCCCTACCCCTTCCTCCGGCGCGTACTCCCTCCGTGCCAATGCGGCGCTTCGTCCCTCCTGGCCCTCCCGGCTCCCGGAGCGTCTCCGACGCCACCGTCTCTTGGCGCGCCGGCGAGTTCCGAGGCAAATCGCTCCTAGAAGCTCCGCGCTTCTGCGACGGCGTCTCGAGGCCGTTTCATTCAAGAGGAGAAACGAAAGCGCGTTTCTCTCCTTTGCCTCTTCCTTCTTTTCCTCCAGGTTGACCCGAGGTGTTTGGCTTCGCGGCGTATATTCTGCGCAATTTCGAGAGCGGCACTTTGTAACGATTAATCGTTACACGAGGCATGCGATAAGAACGGCGCATTGCGTGCGATTTATTCATTCATTCGCGCGCTCCTCACGCCGCGCGTTCCGCTCCGAGTCTCGAGGTGAGCGAGCCTTTTTGGAGCGTCACGTCGTGCCTGGGACGATCTCGTTCGAGGCATTTCTCGTTTCCGAACAGGACAGGGCGGGGCTGTTTGACTGTCGGTTAAAGGAAAAATCAGATAAAAGACTTTTAAACCTGATCTACAATGTGCTCTTTGCATCGAGAGACATTTTGTTTTATATTAGCAAGTCGAACCGCTTAACACATTAGTCGGCAATTTACGATTTATTGGCTACAAAATACACTCAGTCCAAAAAAAGCGGTACACCTAAAATTTGTCAAAAAATTACCAAATTTCGAATGACGATAATTACGCGAGTAATAATAATAGAAAGGTTTTAAAAAAAAAACAAATTGAAATTTCTACTTTAAGAATCGATACGTCAGAGTTTTGCGAGATAAGTTTTCAAAATGGCGGATGACAAAACGAGAGCATGCGAAATTGAAAAATTTTTGTCCGAGTTTGCGACGATCCATGGCGAGAGGCAAGTGTTGTAACTTAATGGGATAAGAAGCATACGATAGTGCAGAGTCTCACCTTCAAAGTGCTTTCTTTACTCGTTTTGATACGATGATTTTTCGCCGGGATATGCGCATTTGAATAAAAAAGCCGGTTTTTACTTTATATGCGCATATTTCACAAGCGAAACATCATCCTATCGAAACGAGTAAAAAAGCATTTTGAAGGGGCGACTCTGTACTATCGCATGCTTTTTATCCCATTAAGTTGCAACACTTGCCTCTCGCTATGGATCGTCGCAAACTCGGACAAAAATTTTTCAATTTCGTATGCTCTCGTTTTGTCATCAGCCATTTTGGAAAAAATTATCTCGCAAAACTCTGATGTATCGATCTTAAAGTAGAGATTTCAAGCTTCAATTTCTATTTTTGAGGAACTTTTCTATCATTATTACTCGCGTAGTTATCGTCATTCGAAATTTGGTGATTCTTGGACAAATTTTAGGTGTACCGCTTTTTTTTGGACTGAGTGTAGAATGTTTCTAGACGCAAAGAGCACATTGTAGATTAGCCTTTAAGGTAGGGAGGCGGATTTTTGGCGTTTCGTCTTGGAAATTTTTTACCCCGGTCTTCCTTTAAACTGACAACGTGTCACACACAGCTCTATCCTAAGTCTTGTTTTCTATCGCTGCACTGGTGAACTAGGCTGGAATGAGAAAAATATACTTGTCTTACTCTAATTTATTGCACCAGTTCACCAGTGCAGCAATAGAGAACACGCCTATACTTTGGTTCAAACGCGCAAAACGGTTTTCACGGTTAATCCGAACTTTCGAGTGCACCGCATGCTAACGCGCTCCTTTCTTGAGTTGATCGCCTCGGAGTCAATATCGCTCGACATTGCATCATCCGAATTCCAAAACGCTTTATTTCCAAGTTCCGCGATGAATTCATCGCTTCGAAACAAACGCGCTAGTTTATTTTCACCTGTCTTCTTCTTGTTTGTCCCGCCAACAAAGCGTGACACATAGCACTTCAGTTAGATCCTTCAGTTAGATTCCGCGAATACTTCTGAGTGTATCCAGGATGTCATAAATGTAACGTATGTACACCATAATTTTGATCCCAGTGCTACACGCGATAAAATGTGTATATATAATAAAAAAGTATATTAAATAACGACGTTCGGTAATTGATTGCTAGCGTCTGGCGGGTGTTGCATTTTACGGAAACGAAGGTAAATAAGGGTTACTGAAGGTTTCTTATCGACTTCGGTAAATACGGTACATTTGTACGCTTAAAAATTGTTTGAAAACTTTTGCCTGTATTCCGGCTCAGCGCCGCAAAGTGTACATAACAAATTAGTTGAGCATTTATTTCCAATTGGCACTGAAGGCGAGTTCCGTCAAACTCCATTAGGACTAACAATAGACGAAACTCCTACAGAGCCAACTTATAGTCAAGAGGTAATTTGTGCATGACGTCTAGTGCACTTTGTCTTATGGTTTCTCGCGCAGGGCACGTTGTTTCGGTGCTTCACGTTATAACTGTTTACGGTACTGCTAGTTTTCAGTCTACGAAATGCCGTGTGATCGTTTATCTCAGAAGGAAGAGATGTCCAATTTTTCCTAGGGTCTTTCGCAAACGAGGAACTCGCGGGGCAACAGCGGAAAAATTTCTAACTTCAACGACGTATCTCTTCGCGAGCGGAAAGTCGCAGAAACGATATCTCTGCTCAGTTGTGAGAGTGCTGCCTGCTCTGGGAAAAAAAGACAGTTAAGCAACCCATTTTGGGGCCCACAATTAGCAATCGAATTATTTGGATTGCTCGTGACTCTACTCTGGGAAAAATTTTGACTGTTTTCCTTTGTAGCTAAGCAACTTAACATTTTGGTTAGTGCCTTTTAAGTGAAAGTTGTCTTTGCGTTACTGAATATCGACAGAACCAACTGAGAGAATTGTATTACTTAAAAATCTTGGATATAGATGGAATAGCTAATTGCGATTTTTAGTTACGCGGGGCAAAATTCGTAAAATTAGAGTTACGAACAATCCGAATAATTCGATTAGTATAAATTGTGGGCCTCAAAATAGATTGCTTAGCTGTCTTTTTTTTTCCAGAGTGCAATATATGTAACCTTTGTCGAGTTTCTACGGTTTGGCTCGCAGGGTAATATGTTTCGCTCGTTATAACGTCGCGTCACATATGTAAAAGAGGCACGTTGCGAGCACGGGACGCGCATCTGCGAGTCCCTCTTCTCGTCTCTCCTTCAGTCTCTATCTTCTTCCGTCCGGCCTCGTTTTGCATTCACCAATACGCACATCTGTACGAAATAACGTCATTTATTGACCCGTAATCAGAGACGACCGCCTCTACGCTTCTTAATTCTGTCTACGGCTACTGAAATATCACTCCTGGAATTTCTTTGCACTCGTTCGACGAGTGCGCTACTAATTCCTCGTATGTCAACGTGGGCTTGTTATCGCATGCAACGTGATAAGTGCGATGAAATGAACCTCTGAACGATTTAAAAGAGATTCATGTGCGTGAGCGTAGATTTACAGTGTAGTCTTATAGGCGCGCGTACATGCTTTCGAGGAAATACGTTGGAATTCACGGCGGCAAAAGTCCTTTGTAGAGAACGAGACATAAACTGCTGACCAAAAGCATGTATTCAATGCCCAGCTGCATTACTTTATTGTATTTATCTTGTTATATCTTATTTTATCTTTGTAATGCCCTGGCAAGGCAAGGCCTATAAATGTCTACACTACTGCCCAAAAATGCACCCAATGCCATACGCGGAAAGAATTTTGTCTTAAAATTGATCCTGAAAATCGTGTAATCGTAGGACAACACGGTATTTCGAAGAATTTTATGAGTTTTTGAAATTTTACCATACATTTTACTAGTAAAATACATGGTACCAACATATTTTACCATACATTTTACTACTAATTGTTTTACTAATAAAATTTTACTAGTATTACTACACTGATAAAAATTAATGCGAATTTACAAAGGAATTTTACTTATTTCTTGGTAAATTTGCCTAAATTTTCATGAGTTTTTACATAAAATTTGTATTTTTCCCTTTGGTTTCATTAAACATACAGGAATATTATGTAAAATTAATTGAATCTGGTATTTTTAATCACATAATTTGTAAATTAGCTTCCGGTTCATCCATAACATTTCATATATGTATGTTCTTAATTTTACTTCTATACAGTAAATTTACAGTCCGACATGGAATTTTACTCTTTTGTTAGTGATATCACAGTATTTCAGTAAAGTGGAGTGGGCGCAATAGAGAATTTCATCATCTATAGTTCGCCGACCGCCGCTAGGCCGCGCATGGTGCGGCGGCCAAAAACTCGGGAGCAAAATCCAGTCTCGTAGGGTATAAAAGGAGGCCCGCGTGGAAGCTAGGGCAAGTATTCCAGTAGGTTAACCCCTTTATACCATTTTATACTCTACGAGACTGGATTTTGCTTCCGAGTTTTTGGCCGAGCTACACTGATAAAAATTTGAACC